GGGCCCTCGCGAGGCTCATTCCTGTGGACCCTGGCGTGCGTGGACGGACGCAGGCGGCTGCACCTCCGGAGGAGGCAGGGGTAGTGGCCCTGGCTGTCGGGACTCGCCGGGCCTGAGTGCAAGCTCTGCACGGCCGGGCAGAGGTGGCCCAGCACCCGGCCTCCAGCCTCCGCTGCTCGGAGCAACTTTGCCTCGTCGCCCGTCACCGCAGGCCCAGTAACAGATGGCGCGCGAACGCTTGGGGAGGGGGAGCTGGACGGAAGAGCCCCCGAGAGGAGCCAGACTGCTGTGGTGGCCTCGCAGCGTGAAGGGACGGGCACCGCCGGCCTGCTGGCCGGGCTGGGCCGGGGCCAAGCAGGCGGCCCACGGCTCTGGGCCGCGCAGTCCCACGTTCCGTGGGGAAGCTGCACATGTTTGTGCTTTTTGTGAATTTGGGGATTCAAAATGTCAGTGGCCTGCGGTCACTCGTGTCCCCAGGCTGGACTTCCCCAGCCAGAAAATCAGACAAAGACCCCCTCGGAGGCTTCGCACTGGCCGGCTCGGCTCCAGGGAGGGGCCCAGGCCTGTGCCAGTCTCTCAGCCTCCAGGCCCTGTGCTCTGACCTCTTCCAGCCGGGCCGGAAGCGTCAGGACCAGCCAGGAGCTCAGGGCAGCTTTCTGGGACGCTGTGAATTCGGTCCTCCCCAGCCAGCGCCAGGTCCCTTGTCCTCATCCACGGCGCTCAGTGCCCGCAGCTCATCGGCCGTGGCCAAAACAAGGCCCAAGTCCAGGGAGATGGTTCCCCACCCCCGGCCCCTGGGACGGCCTCAGGCTGCCTTCTGCGCGGAACAGTAACCACAAACTGAGAGGCGTCCCCCTGGCAACCCAACCAGGATTCCCTCCAGCACCCAGTCCGCCGCTCAGGGACAATATGACGAGGTCAGTGTGCAGGCCTGGGGCTTTGGGAAGCCACCTTCCACAGGACAAAGGTCCTGGGATCCGTGGGACAGGAATTCAGGGATGCAGGGGCCTGCAAATAACCCTGCCAGGGGGACCACACCTGCTCTGAAGGGAGCGTGCTTGTCTCCCACCCCGAGGGGCTCCGTTTAGGAAGCAGCGTGCTCAAGGTGGACGTGCCCTCAGGCCCAGTGCTTCCGGGGTCCCCGGAACGAGGAGGGTCACTCAGAAGCTGGCTGGGGGGTCTGCCTTGCTCTGGACGCCCTCCAGAGGGATGCGAGACAGCGCCTGCTTTTTTTATAAAGCAGCAGCGGAGAGCAGAGACCGGGGCACAAAGACAGTCCAGCTTTGGTGTCTCCTGGTCCAGCGTGGCCACTCTATGACAAATTCCACAGGGAAGGGTCCACGCCTGATACAGCTGGTGGTCCTGACGGCACCCAGGGTCCCTTTGCCCTCAGGACCCTCCCTCCCCACCCCGAACAACTCAATGGACCTGTTCTCCAGCTGCCCTGTGAGTGGCTGGTGGGGAGGGAGCGAGGGTACCCTCTCTCCCTCTGGTGTCTGCACAGAGTGGGGGCTGCACGCTGAGCTGGGCCAGGGCCTTGGCCTTGGGTGGGGGGTGCAGAGCCCAGAACCCATGGCTCCCAGCGTCTGTCCTCCCCCACTCAGTGCTTTGACTTCTACGAGTAGTCTGTCCCACAGGGTGGTACCCATCCCCTCAATAGCAGAGGTGGCACTGGCCTCAGCTGGTGTTAACAGAGAGCTGTCACCCATGGGGCCAGCAGGCATAACTCCACTCCGGGCTCAGCCCCTGCGGGAAGGAGGGACACTCACCTTCTCACCCTTGGTGCCCTTCAGACCTCGGATGCCATCTGCCCCCTGTGCAAACAGAGAGGAACGGTCAGCAGAGATAAATGCGAGCCTCACCAGACACGGGCCTGGCCCCGGCACCAAGGAAGGCTGAGCACCACGCCTAACCGCCCCTCCCAGAGAAGCTCCCTCCCTGTGTCCCGGATCTCGGATCTCAGAGGGAGAGCTCTGGGGGTGTGCGGGGTGTCCCCCACGGACACGCTGCCCTCCTCCGGAAACGTCCCGTCTCTCCCAGGTTTGGGGACTCGCAGCCTGAGCTCGGGCTCTGGAGTCGGGCAGACTGGTTCTGCGGCCTCTGGCAGACTTCTGCTCACTTGGGAAGTGGGGGTGATGACCACCCTCTTCTTGTCACGGCTGGTGGGAGAGGAACACCGGCAAGGCCCTGGGGACGGTGGCTGGCACACAGCACGTGCTCCTGACAGCACCTCCCTTCTCCCCGATTATTGTTCACACGTGACGACACGGCACAGTGCTGTCAGTTACTACGGCACCGCACCAACCACCAGCGCCGCCATCATTGCATCAGCTGCTCAGGACGGGCCTCAGCTCCCTGCTGACCGAGAACCGTCGGGGCAGGACAAGCCGGTTCACCCCTGTGCCAGCGCCTGGCCCGGCCAGGGAGCACCAGTCCCTGGGCAGGGGTTGACAGCACACCCCCTAGCTTCCTGCAGAGCCGCCGTGAGGATGCTTAAAGATCAGAGAAATCGCAGAGCACAGAGGGGCTCCTTTCTCAGAAGGCAGGACACCAGTGGTGGAGGCCGAGGCCTCCCTCACCACGGACCTCGGTCTCTGGTGACGGCAGGGCCTCCCGACCCCCCCATCGCCGCCCCTGCGGCCCATGAGGGTGTGGCCTCCGCCGACGTCTCCAAGTGCACAGGGGACGAGAGCCTGTTTCTCCAGTGAAGATGGCGTTCAGCCCTGCTGCTCCCTCCGCCCTCTGCTTCCCCGCCTAACGGGATTGCTCGTGTCACGGGCGAATTCTAATCAGACTGACAGGATAAGAGCATTCTCCGCCATCGTCTCAGAGCTGACGCCGCTCCAGCTCACGGAAGCCGCGTCGTGCACTTGGCCATGTATGGTGGCTGCAGGGGGCTCTCTGTGCTCCAGGAATTTGTAAAGTAAACATGCGTGGCGCTCGGTACCCAGCCCTGCTGCGGAATCACCGCCATTGTAAGCTCTCCGGGCGGCGGGGAGGGCAAAGCCTGCGTCAGGGAAGGCCGCCAGCCAAGGCTCCCGACCCGGGGCCCCTCTGTCCTTGACCTTGGGACATCCCAATGCGGGGAAATGGAAATCGGGGCCCCGTGGCGTCAGGGTGGGGCACTTGGTTAGGAATAAGCAAGTCCGGGTTTGAGTCCTGACTGAGGCATCAGTTTAAGGGCAATTTGGGGTAAGTTACTAAAAACCGAGGTCTTGGCTTTCCGCCCTCCACACCGCAGCGCAGCCGCGTGCCCCAGATGTGCAAAAACGCTTGAAAGTACAAAGGACCGGAAACCACGTAGGCGGGGGTTCAGGAGCGGACGGCTGTGCTCATGCCAACCCCCCGGGGTAAACTAGACGCTTTTATACACGCACGCTTATGTGAGCCTTCACGTCAAGTTACAGTCGTTATAAAGGAAAGGGCCCCCTCTGGCTTTTCTGTGCGTGGCAAGTCGGAGGTGGAAGACCCTGAAACATCCCCGCCCGAGACAGAAGAGCGCTTCTGGGCACCCCCGGGTACCTCCCCTCCGTGTAAACGTCTCGAGAGCAGCGTCACTGAGGACTCAGCTGCACAGCTCAAGGGACGCCCAGCTGGCTCGGGGGAGCAGACAGAGCTGTGTTTGGGACATTGCTCTGCCCATTAACGAGGTTCCAGGAGCCTCTCAACACAACTGCGAATAAAGGGGCACCCCCCACGAACTCCTCCAAGAACCCAGCCTGCTCGGCTGTGAGCGGTGGGGCAGACTCTCCGTCTGGATGCGCAACGGCCCAGTGGAAGCAAACGATTCCCAGCTTCCCGGGGAAGGGCGCCTAGCTCTTCGCCTGCTGCCTTGGAGGGACTCGGGGAGCAGCAGACGCTTGACCAGTGGTGACAATAAAGTAGCATGGGCAGAAGGGTGCCGCCCTGTCCTGCAGGCGGGCACTGTCACGTCGCCCACGCGGTCCCACTGCACTGGGGAGCGTCCCCAGCTCCACCGCAGCCCCTCCTGGCCCCACCGGCCCCTCCCACACAGCTCAGGCCCACCGTCCAGGGACCCAACCTCCCATGCACGGGGCTGGGAGGACAGGGCTGCTCCAGCATGGGCGGGAGGGAGGTGGGAGCACAGAGCAAATCCCGGAAGTCAGCAGAGCCGTGCCAGGCCCAAACTTGACCTCCAGGAAGACCCAAGGCTGTGAGAATCTCACCTTGACTCCACGGGGACCAGGGTAGCCGATCGGGCCTTGGGGGCCGGGAGGACCCTGAAACCAGAGGGGGAGGCTGTTAGCCACGTCTCAGGTGGATGGTGCAGGGTCAGATCCAGGCCATTCCTGGGTCCCTCCGGCCCAAGCCAGAAAACTGCCCGCCCCCAGCACCCGGAGCGGATGTTCCAGGTCGGACCCGCAGAAGGAGCTGTGCTGTGCCCAGCCCCCTGGGAAGGCGGGCCCACAGGTGGCTCATGAAGACTGAGGACGGGGGAGGAACCTCCTCCTGAACGAGGTGTCCCGGAGCCGAGGGGCCCAGCTCCTGCCCATCCTGCCGGCGACACCGGGGGTCGAGGCTGTGGCCAGCACCCACCTGGCTTCCCTTCTCTCCTGGAGGGCCTTCTTTGCCAGGGTGCCCCTGTCAGGAAAGAGAAGGCGGGTGTTAACCCACGGTCACCGAGGAAGCAAGCCTGCCCCTGCGGCCCCGCTGCAGCCCCCCTCCTAAAACTGGGCATCTGAGCTGGTCTCTCCAGTCTCCTCCCCGCCCTTCCCCCAGCGGCTCAGTCACCCCCAGCCTGGGGCCCTGATGAGCCCTCCAGCCCCGACCCTCGGCTGCTTCATCTTTAAGATGGGGACCAGGCCAGGCCCCGGCAACAGCAGAGGGGAATGTGTTAGAGGCCCACCAACGGGCTCTAGGCGCCCCGCGCACCAGTGCCGCCCAGGGCCCAGCCTGCCCTGGGGCGGTGGGGGGACGGGGACCAGGGGGTGTTTGCTGGCTCACGAGCACCCGGCAAGTCCGAATCCAGGGCCAAACAAGGCACAGTGAGGTGGGAGCAGACCCGCTGGGCCCCAGCGCATCTTGGGTCTTTGTGCAGGTGCTTCAAGTCCCCCTCCCAGGCAACACAGGCGGAGAGAGAAGCGGGGCGAGGGGGGACGCACAGCCCACTCACAGACGCAGAGCTGAGCCCGGGGAACCGGCCACGGCCCCCTGGTCACTGCCCCGTCCGCCCGGCCCCAACCAATTCCTCTCTCAGCAACTTGACTTCTTCTGACTTCCTGACCCAGTCTGGTCACCAGGTTCAGCGCCCTTGAGTTCATGAGCCAAACACAGATGATACAAGCAGAAACGCAAGCATTCGCGGTCTGGGAAAACAACTCCTCTGCCGAGGATTCCCGTAAAGAGAGGCCGCGTGGTGCAGAGCGGATGCCGGCAGGGCGGCGACCGTGGCCTGACTCCGCTCCCGACCCGCTGTGTGACCTTGGGTGCGTCACCTGCCCTCTCTGGGCCTCTAATGCTTCACTGTACAATGAGAGGGCGGGTTGGCTGCCCTTCGGCCTGATCGTTCAAAAGCTCTAGGACTCCACCTGCAGAGCACAGCAGTGTGGGGGAGGCCCGCGTTTTGCCGAGTGGAATAGCTGATTTGTGTGCGTGCTTCTCAGTAGTCATTAGTCGCTGGACTGGATTTGCTGCCGTGGCAAATAGCCTCCCGTAGTGGCAACGCGAGTGGGGGGGTGGAGAAGTCCCCCTGCAGGGTGGGGTGCCCTCGGGGAGCCCCCGAGCATAAGCAGGCCCCGGTTGGAGCTTGCCTGCTGCCTGCGCCTGGAGGGGACACGCGGCCCGCCAGCTGCCTTCAGAAGGAGGCCATGGTGGGTGCCAGCACCCCGCACTGGCAGGGCGGGCCCCCCCGTCGGTGCCCAGGAGAGGATCCTGACTCAGGGCGGCCGGGAGGGAGAGGAGTCCTGCCCGCTCTGCCACGTGGGCTCTCTGTGGGCCTCTTAACACTGTTTCCATCACCTAGAACTTTTCTCCTGAACGGAGGGGATGAGCAAGCCTCAGGGACACCCTGGGGGCTGACCCCTCCACGTGGACGTCCTCACCGCGTGGTGCAGACAACAGCAGGCCTGACCACCGCGTGGCAGGAGGGAGGGGAGAAGAAGGGCCAGTCCCCGTCCTGACGGCTGCGGCCGAATCGAGGCCAAACCTCTCCAGATGCATTTAAGTTGTGCGAACAGGGACAGGAACTTTGCGGGGAGGGGGGAGCCCAACGCCCACAGCCTCAGCGCTGGAGCAGAAAAAGATGGGGAGGAAACGGACTCAAGTAAGGCGCGCCCCCCACCCCCACGAGAGGCCAGCGTCCCCGCCCTCCGCCTGCCGGCTGGCTCTTCCCCAGGATTTGCTAATGAGCCTGGCTTTATGACGGAAAAATAATAAAGCTTCAATTATTTATAGTTGATATTTTTCTGATTAAAAAAAGAATAGATGTTCGTGGGAGACAAATGGAAAAATAATACAGCTTAAATTCTTTGCATTTGAAGTTTTCCTGATTAAAAAAGTAACACTCGTTCAGGGGAGACGATGAGGCGAGTGGAGAGAAAATTAAAACCCTCCATCACCTCCCGGCTGGCGGCGCCGGCAGGATGGCTCTCCGCCCGCCTGGCTTCGCGGAGCGTGTTGTGCCGCCCTGGCAGCGCAGGAGCATTTCGAATTTACTATTCTGTCCTGAGTGTTTTCTCATGTCACTCACTGTCTGTGGGAATCTGCTCCTTCCTGGCCCTGTAACATTCCCGGGAACCATGACTGTCGCCCAGGTCCTGCCGTGGGGGCCGGGATGACTCAGCGGTGCTTCCCAGCGCATCCAGTCGGCGCTGAATCCCCTTGCCCTTCTCAAAGCCCTTGAAATCTAGCTTCCTTCCTTTCTTCAGCCCAAACAAAGAGCAAAACCAGACCAACATGAGGGGAAAACACCCTCTCTCTAGGGCTGACCAGCACTGCGCGGCCCCAGGGAGCGGATTCCACGTCTTCCCCTCCATCCTGACTCCCCTAGGACCGGCACCCTGCCTCTCCCAGGCCACGGCCCTTCTTGGTCTTCTGCTGTAAGCATCTTCAGTGTTGGCCCAGCTCGGCCACACTCACTCTGAGCTCTCAGATTCGTACGTGTGACAGTCGGGGAAAGAGAAATGGAGAATCTGTAAGGGGCACCTACTGGCTCGCGGCCAGGCTCCTCCTTCCCAACAGACTCTGAAAGGAAACTGGTGACTCTTCAGGGACCTCAGGGACGGGATCCGGGCTGAATCCCAGGGAGGTGGGGGCTGGGCGGGCACCCCTCCTTCCTGCAGAGCCCCGCCAGCCCTGACCCCACGACCCGCAGGAGACACCCCACTGGCACTACGTCTTGCAGAAGAGGGACAGATCTCCAGGACACGGAGGCCCTACACCACCTACTCAAAGGGCTCCCCCACGGGATGGGACCAGAGCTGGTTTTCATCTTGTTGCTGTTTCTCTTACTTCCTAATTTTCCATGACAAGATGCGTTATTTTATACTTGGAAAATGTAACTGGTGTAAATTTAAGTGGAAGAAGGTGGCTGACGTGTCACACAACAGTCATCTCTTTGTATCCAAACTCCCAGAAGGTCCGGGAGACCGAGGCCCCCGCAGCAGTTCAAGCAGGAGCGTGACTGTCACCTGCCAGTTCACGGAAAGACAGGACAGCCGGTGCCCCGTGACCCCTGGGGCCTCAGCGTTCCCAACCACGAAAATGGAAGCCGACCCTCCTAGGCCACACAGCCACCAGTCAGCCGTCGATATGTTCAACGTTCTCGCTTAGTTTTCAACAGGTTATTAAAACAGCAAAATAGCTGTGCGGAAATAATCAATTTAGCTCATGTCACCCTCTCTCTGGCATCGCCTTGGAGTCTCTAAAAATAACCGAAAGACAAAAAACCCGCCAGGAGCTCACACAGAGGGCGGCGGAGGTGCAGATCAGTGCACGCGCGGGCGCACCCCCACCCCGGCGTTCGTCACTCCCGCCCCCGCCCTCCACGCCGCTTGGCCACAGAGTGGATCCGTCACCCACACCCTCCTTCTGGGACGGCACCTGCTTTGGCGCCACAGCTGTGGGCCCACACACAGCAAGCGCGCTGGTGACTCACACCCCTCTCGGCGCGTGACCGCTAAAAATACACGCAGTGCTGGCGATACACACGGAGGCTGGGAGCCCCCCCGGCCCCCCGTGTAGTTTCACGTGTGAGGCTGGTTCCCATGCTGAGCGCTGACAGATGACGCGAGTGCCTCCTCACGCAGGCACCACCCTGTGACTGAAATGCATCACGGAAGCGTGTCCAAAACCTAGCCATGCCTGAGCAAGCAGGCTCCCGACCAGAGCCATCGTCACCGATGGGGTCGCAGCGGATGGACAGGGGCCGGGTGCATGTGGGCATCTCGAGAGCAAGGGGCAGGTGTCTGCCCGGCTTCCCTGGGTGTAAGTGGGTGGGCAGGGGCACTCACCGGGGGTCCGTCAGCACCGGGCATTCCTGGGAGACCTGGCTTACCCAGGGGACCCTAGAACAAACCAGACACTCTGTGAGCAGACGCCGCGGGGGTCCCCTCGGCTACCCACCCTCTCTGCATGGTCCCAGAGCTACTCTTCAACATTCCTGCTCAAAGAGCCTTTGCTGAAAAGAATGCTCAGAGGAACCCGCTCCCACTGGCTGCGACGCCTCCTGCCGCCTGCGGTGCCCCAGGACGTGGGCCTCCACCCTTTGCCATTTCCAGAGCCTTTGGGCTTTGATTTTGGAACAAAACCACCGCCAAGTGAGGACAGAAGTGGTTCTCAAACCCCGGGCGCTGCGATGGACTGAGGACCGCCCCTGGGCAAGTCGTTTTGCTGGTCCCCTGAGGTGCCGAGTTAATGGGGCACCTGGTGCCCTGGTGAGCCCCACGTCCTGCGAGAGCCCCCGGGATCTGGTTCTCTCCTCAGCATTTGGACTTGGGGGTGACGAGGATGTATTTAGGGTTGCCGAATTTAGCAAAAACGAGACGGAGCGAAACAAAGGACAACAAAACGAGACGCCCAGTTCAATGTGAGTTTCTGACAAAGAACAGAGTTCAGATCTAACTGAGCACCCCTGTCTGCTCTTGTCTCTGAATCTGGAACTCCTAGACACAGCTAGAGAAGGAGGGCGGGAGGGGTCCACGGGCGTGCCCTCGGCGTGCCTGCTCAGGGAGCCGAGCAGCCCCACCTCTGGGGCAGGACAGATGCACAGCACGAGCTGGTGGGGACCAGCGCCCCGGGCCTGACACCCCAGGCCTCATGCTCCCAGGGGTGGGAGGCACCCTGCAGGCAGGCGGAGGCGCCCCATGCCCGGCTCAGCCCACCTACCTTTTCTCCGGGAGGACCGATTGCACCCTGGGGGCCTGGAAGACCCTGGGAGGGGAAGAGTGACAGGAAAGGTCAGGGAACTGGTTGACTCAGAACCCCTCCCTGCCACCTGTCCGTCTTCCCCCAACCCTCCCCTCATCGGGGCGCTGACCCTCCGGGCCGACTGGCCGCAGGGGGCAGTGCCCAGGGCCCCGGACCGCAGACCCGCACCTCCTGCGACCCGGGAGCCCGCCTGGCTCACTCACCTGGGCACCCGGATTACCCTGCTGTCCTGGGGGCCCGGGCTCCCCCTGGGGACCCTACAGGAAACACAAACAAGGCACTGAAGCGGGTTCTGAGGAACGACCAGGAAATGTTCTACTCAGCAGAAAACGCCTAGATCATCGTGGGGGCCAGGTCTCCTGGGCCCGTAACAGACCCGGCCCAGAGCCCTCTCTCCCGGTGGGCGCTGGCCCGGGCAGGCTTCGGCCGCAGCGAGCAGGACCACAGGCCGTCACACCTGGGGGCCTGCACCCTCCCCCGCTTGCCATCTGGGCTTGGCGGCACTGCTGCTGCCTCCCAGGGCTGGGGCCAAGCCCAGGGGAGACAGCACCGCGCAGCGGCACGCCGGGGCCCCGGACCCCCAGACTTACCACGTTGCCTTTCGGGCCTGGCTGGCCGTCCATCCCTGTCACACCCTGGGTGACGTTGAAACAAAAGAGACTGAGAATCAACAAAGCTCGACAGGAAGTCCCCGCTCAACACGGCGTGGCCCCTGCCCACAGGCCAGAAGGCAGCACGTCCTCCGGGGAAGGGGAGAGGCCTGCTCTCAGATAAACCCCTGAGCAGCTGGGGGTTCACAGGGCGGCCAGGCCCCAGAGCCGTGTGGGGCAGCTGCCACCTCGGACGGGGCCCCGCCAGCACCACAGGCTCCTGCCTCCTCCTCCGAGGCTCACAGACGCTGCCGGAAGTGCTCTCAAGGGGGAGCACGGGCATCCTGGTCACCGCTCGTGACAGCGCGCGCCGCGTGCGGGGAGGGCTGGCAGCCCGCGGGAAAGGACAGTAAGCCCCCCGGCCTCGTGCCTCCACCTGCAGGCCCACGCCCGC